TACATTCAAGTTGATTTCTTTCTTTTTGCAGAAGATAACAGTTGCTTGGTTTTAGGGCTTAAGCTCACCTAAATTGCTGCAAACTACTTTGCATTTTAAGCATAATATCTTTGAGATGACTTGCACTATTCAAATTTATTAACATATAAATATAAGATACAAGATAAAATAAGACAATTTGGTATTTTACCACAAATGATGATACACATGAAGAGGTATTTCATCATTCATAATGATGTATCACCATGTCTCTAAGACTTATCGCCTTCAAATTTTATTGGTTTTTAAATTTGTGGTGTTAATTTTGGGTTTTAGTTAAAGACATACGTTATTTCTTGGTAAACATCAGTTGTGCACTTTAAACTGCGGAATAAAAGAGGATAGTATGTTAGACTGTTTTGAACTGTCACATAAATTTAAAGATAGCCCATTGGCAGTATGTACAGAGATATAGCAAATAAATGTTCATTTCAACAGGTGAAAAGATAAAAACAATTAGTTCCAAGTAAATACATTGGACACTGATTATTTAATGCACCGTAAGATGTGGGCGAGGTGATCTTGAGAGACCTTTCTCATTTACCATAATATAATTGTCTGTAGTAGATATACCACTCACCTTCTTTATCTAAGTGTCAAAGACAGAGCTGTACCTTTCTTTGCACCGTGTGTGGAAAGAGGTCTGGCTCAAGGGCAGATTGATAAATGTAAGGGCGTTTAGAGTTTTCAGCCATTGTGACTTTCTTATTCAGCTACCTTTTGCACTCCAACCAAGAATAAAATTAAGATGCAGCTGGGGCTGCATCAAGACCATAAAATGAGGGAAAAATTCTTATGATGAGAATCAAGTGAATTCCAGATCCTGTCATGAACTCTCCTTACTAGGATCTCAATGGCTTCCTATACTGAGAGACTGATTCTAGAAAACATTAGCAAAATTGCTGCCTTTTCAAAAAGCAATGAATATTTACTATGGGCCTACTGTTCATACAATGATGTCCTCTATCCTGAGGGATTTCAAGGTCCCTCAAGTTTAATTGGTCAGTGGGTCCAGAGAGACAATCAGTGACTGGTTCCAAATATGTTGGTGGCATAGTACTGGCACAAAAGTTGTTTCATAATTTCTACACGTCATTTGAACACTAGGATCATAAAACATAAACCATGAAATATAAAAATAAGTTTAGAATTGTTTGAACAGAAAGAAAATGTGTAAATAAACTCATAGACCTATAATTCTCCTTAGTTTCAGTGTAAAATAATATACACATCTGTACTGTACTTAGTTTGAACTAAGGGCCTTGGCTTTACTTGGTATTTTTATTTATTATTTTATTTTATTTTTATTGTTTGGGGGTCCAGTCGTGGGGCCTGAACTTTGGTCCTGGGTGCTTTCCCTCAGCTCTTCAGCTCAAAGCTAGCGCTCTACCACTTGAGCCATAGTGCCACTTCTGGCTTTTTTCGTTTTGCATATGTGATGCTGGGGAATCAAACCCAGGGCCTCAGGCATGCAAGTCAAGCGCTCTACCACTGAGCCACCTTCCCAGCACCCTACTTGGCATTTTTATTAATGGCTTTTGCTCTGTCACTTGAATCACTCCTCCAGTTCAGCTTTTTGGTGGTTAATTGGAGGTAAGAGTCTCATGGGTTTGTCTGCCGAGGCTGAATGTAAACTGAAATTCTCAGATCTCAGTCTTCTGAGTAACTAGGATTGTAGATGAGCCACTGGTGCCAAGATGAAAATAATACTTTTGTCCTTTACTGACTCTTGCAATGTGTAATTTTGGAGTACACTTGTCAAAGAAGACCAAGCTAAGATATTGTATCAAACACAATCACACACTGAATTAAGATGTAACACACTGAAATTGAAGATGAGCAGTCAAAATCATGAGGCAGAAAAAATAGAGATGATATGAGATTGCTACAGGATTAGTTTTTAGGAATAAATTGAACCAGGTGAAAAGAATGACAGCAATTACTGAAAGACTCCCTGAAGGGTTCATTGTATGAGGCTTTGCTGACCAATGTTGGCTAGCTCTGTTTGATACTCTTCTAATAATATAGTCTATGGCCATGATGAGAAATATGACCATCATCCTGGTATCCAAGTTAGACTCTCATCTCCAAAACCCCATGTATTTTTTCCTCACCAACTTCTCCTTTTTGAACATGTGCTACATTGTTCCTCAAATGCTGCTTAACCTGGGAGCTCTAAGAAGACCATCAGCTACATGGGGTGTGTGGTTCAGTACATTGGAGGCTATGGCATGCCTGCTCTTGGCTGTTAGGTCTTTTGAAGATCATGTAGCCAACCGCAGACCCCTGAAGTACACCCTCATCGCATTCAGTGCTTCTGCCTCCTATTAGTGTCCTCCCAGTAGTTGAGTGGATTTCCCTATGCTGTCTTTGAGTTCATTCTCACCCTACAATTTTCACTTTGCTGCAAGAACAAGCTGAAGCACTTGTGTTGTCAGAGTCTGGTTATAACAAAGAGCACCAGTGGTGAATTAGAAAGCCAATGAACTGTCTTCCTTCTTGCATGTATTTGCATAGCAGCTGTCCTCTAAGCCCAATTCTTGCTTAATATGGAAATATTGGACATGCTGTGTTGAAGATAAAATCTTCTGATGAAAGAAAAAAGGCACTTAGGATATGTTCCTCTCATTTCCTTGTAGTTTTCTTATGTTCTGATCAACCATTAAAGGTGTGAATCATCAGCTCCTTCAGCCTCCACTCCTCCATCACAAGGGACCAACCCAAGGTCACTTCTTCTTCTATAGAAGGTGACTCCTACAGTCAACTCCTTCATCTGCACCTTGAGAAATAGAGTTGTATCAAATGGTGCTGGGGTGTAGTCTTTTGAGGAACCTCCATACGGTTGAAAAAGTGTACATTTCCCACTGTTGGTGGGAATGTCCACCAACAGTGCAATGGAGTTTTCTTTTGGCCAAATCCACTCTAGCATTTGTTACTGTTAGTTTTCATGATAATGGCCATTCTATCAGGGGTGAGATGCAATTCAATGTTATTTTGATTTGCATTTATTTTTTTTCTATACAGGGGTTACAGTTATATAAGTAAGGCAATAAGTGCATTTCTTGTCAAAATTGTTACCCCTTCCCTCATTTTTCTTCTACTTTCCTCCTCTCCAACCCCCCTCATGTTGTACAGATCATTTTCAACAGATTGTTGTTTATGTATGTCACTCTTGCATTTGTTTTCCTCTTGTTCTTTGTTTCACCATTCTGTTGTTCCCCGTCTCTTCTCTAATTCAAATTAACATATATACAATATCTGGGTACCAAAACCAAATATAGTGACAACAGGAGATATACCATAGGGGAAAGGACATACAAAAGAAACAAAAAAAATCACATAGTACATTAATTCCTCTCAGTTTAGGTTATTTACTTATTTATCGGGTGGAGAGTGGGTAAAATGGAGCACACACTTCTATTTCATTATATAAGATAGACCAGTATCTTATCTTTTCAGGAGAAACTGGTCTTCTTTGGGACTAATCTATCTTAATGTTTTAGATAAATAATATGACCTGTAGCATGATGACTGCATTGTGGTTTGATCTAGTATATTGGGGCAAGGCTGGAGGGGCTTCCATACTTAAAAAATAGTTTCTATATTGTGTTCTCATAGAGGGTAAATCAAGAGGATTTCTCAATATCTGATTTCTGATTGTTTTCAGCTGAGATTTAGAGGATAGAGCACAGCTAGATGAGGTATGGCTTCTTAGCTCCTTTTCAGCCAAACACACCAAACTTGTGTTGTTCAATCAGTAGTCACTACTCCATTAGATGACATTATGGATCTGATTTCCAATATGACGTGTTTTGTTATTCTAGTCATTGGTTTGGGAACAAGCTCCCCAGGATTGGTAGCTACAAGGAAGTTATTGATATTATATACCCCCAAAACCTGACTTGTGTCTCCAACGTTTTCCCTACTGTTTCGTAAATGCTTCCCCTACTAAACTTCCATCCACATTTAGTTTGGTGAGTCTGGTCTATTTTCTGTTGTGACTAGGGTGGCTTGGTTCTCTATTCTAAATTGAGATCATTTCTCCCCTTTCAGATTAAAATTTTTTTTAATTGGCAAGGAATTCACATATCAACACTGTGGATATAACATTTTGAGAACATGACTATTGTATAATGAATAAATCTAGTGGTTAACATATGTATTACTTTAGAGTGGTGATTTGTATGTGTGTGTGTGTGTGTTAAAACAGTGTTAAATATGCATATCTACTCAGAATCTATCAATACATATTGCTGTTATATAGTCAGCTTGGTGTGGACTAAGCAAATCTAACTGAAAGCTACTATAGGATCAGATTCATGATTTATTCAAAATAGACAGAACATGAAGAGCAGCCAAGGTTGTACACATAGACACACAATTCTCTAATGATGAAATGTTTCTCCAGTGACATTGACAGGAAACCATTGACAAATGTTATTGTGAGGATTACTTTGAACGAATGAACTTGTTTTTCATTTTGTTTCGTTTTTTTTAATGCCTGTCCTGGGGATTGAACTTGTGGCTTGGGAGCTGTCCCTGAGCCTTTTTTGCATAAGGCTAGCTTGTCTATCAATTGAAACACAGCTCTACTTCTGTTTTTATTGTTTGGCTGGTTAATTGGAGATGAGAGTGTCACAGACTTTCCTGCGGGGGCTGGCTTCAAACCATGATCTGAAAATGTCAGCCTCCTGAATAGTTAAGATTACAGTGCCTGGCTTTTTAAACTACTAGATAGTTACTATTTCAGTATACAGGAAGACTAGAGTTAGTCATTCCAAAAAGAGTACATCATCTGAATAATATTTTAATGAGCATAGTTAAACAGTAGGAGGAATGCATGTTTTACAAGAATGATATAGAACATAAGATGAGCATATGATACAGAATGAATTATGAAAAATAAAACCAAAAGAAATCCATTCTAATTGTTAAATAATTATTTTTATATCTACAAACTGTCACTTGAAACAGAAGAAGCTTCTCCCCAGTTTTCCTATTGCCCCCTTGACATCCTTATTCCTCAGGGTGTAGATGAAGGGGTTGAGAGTAGGAGTCACTACAGCATAGAAGAGACCCATAAACTTGGGCTGGTCCCGAGAGATGGAGGATGGAGGCTGAAGGTACATGCTCATTCCTGGGCCATAAAATAAGAACACCACAACGAGATGGGAGGAACATGTGCCCAAGGCCTTTGTCCTTCCTTCAGAAGATTTTATCTGCAACATAGTGTGGCCAATACTAGCATAGGAAGCAAAAATTAAGCATAGAGGAATAACTGCTATAAAAATGCATGCTACAGGGAGGACAAACTCAGCAGCTTCCTTTTCACCACAGGCAATCTTTATTAGAACTGGAATCTCACAAAACAATTGATCCAGTTTATTGTTGCCACACAGGGGCATCTGTAGTACGACAGTGACCTCAAAGACTGCATAGATTGCTCCGCACAGCCACACCATGGATACCAGTAAGATGCAAAAGCAGTGATTCATGATGAGGGTGTAGTGCAGAGGTCTGCAAATGGCCAAGTAGCGGTCAAAAGACATAAGGGCCAAGAGCAGAGATTCTGTGGTTCCCATTGTGCTGAAGAAGTACAGCTGAACTGCACACCCCATGTAGCTGATGGTCTTCTTGGAGTTCCCCAGGTTAAATAGCATCTGTGGGACAACGCTGGTGCTGTAACAAATGTCTAGAAAGGAGAGATTTGTGAGGAAGAAATACATGGGACTGTGGAGATGGGGGTCTAATTTGGACACCAGGATAATGGTGATATTTCCTATTATGGACATAGGGTATGTTATCAGAAGAAGAATGAATAGAAGAAGCTCTACCCAGGGTTGGTCGGCAAAGCCTAGTAGAATGAATTCTCCAGGGTGACTCTCATTAATAGCTGCCATTCTTTTCAACTTGTTTCACCTAAAATAAGGATGTGACAAAAAAGGGAGAAGCATTATTTGCAATAACTAATATATGTCTAGGATAATCTTGTCAGATAATCAGAAAAGCTCAAGGTCTTATGTACATAGCTTTTGAGCTTTTCTGCTAAGTGAAATGAACCCCAAGATATGGACACAGAGGTTTTTTTTGTTGTTGCTGTTTTTAATGTATTATGTGATTTTTTTTGTTTCTTTTGTATGTTCTTCCTCCTATGGTATACCCCTGTTGTCACTGTATTTGATTTTGGTATCTTGCGTCATGTATATACATTTATCTAATTTGGTGAGGGGAAGGGGAATTGCAAAATGCCGAGACAAGGATACAGGATGACCCACTGCAACAAAGAGACTCAGAAGACACTATGTTGGAAATTAACATTACAGCTTCAGCTGGGGGTAGGTGTATGAGGGAGGTAGGGGAGAGAAAGGATAGTAGGAGAAAAACAAAGGAGGGTGTAACAATGCTCAATAAGCAATGTATTCAGTATTCATGTAACTGTAACCCTTTTGTACAGCATCTTTACAATAAAATAAAATTTAAAAAAGATAAAAGGAAAAAATGGTGGGGTTCTTGACCCTTGTTTTACCTTGTTTTTTTACGCCTTCATTATGTACTCATTGAAGAAAGGATGCAAAAATGGTGGGCAAAAATATGATTTATGTATACCAATTATCTCTGGTATGTTAGCCATTCATTCTAAAAGTGAATTTCAAATGTTATCATAAGTCTAGCAGTGGACATTTGCTTTTGTTTTATTGAGGATTAAATGAATAATCCACATGAACATATTTTTGAAATTTCTGAACAACAATTAATTTTCTTTTTATTGCTACAAAAACCAGCTAAGGAGTAGTTAATAATGGCGCTATGATTTTCTATCCCTAGGCCTTTGACCTAGTAGATATGGCTTTGGGAGAATGACTTAAATATTTAGAAGAAAAACATGTTCAGATAGCAATAGTAGCAGAAGAAGAAAGAAAAACCCTGGTGCTATCAGAGACACTAGGATAGCCTTCCAACCTCAAATAGTTGTTCAAATGTTCTTTTCTCTGTGGAAAGAAAAAAGACAAGTTTAAATAACTATGTCTTGGCTCTTTGTTATTGAGCAAAATTCCAAACATTTACCATTGGTTTTTAAAGTATTAAGATAGTTAATTTATGACATAAGATTTCCATTATTAAGAATTTATTTTCATTTTTCCCCTCCCCCTCTATTTTAGAAAACACACTTCCTTTGATTGTATACTTAATCCTCATCAAAACTTAGGGAAATACTTATAGGTAGACATTAAAAAGTGGAGGAAATTCATTTTTTGTTTCGATATTTATGTTAAATTTTAATTAGTTTGTCTTTAAGAACTTTTCCATTATAAAGTTAGCTTATCCTGTTTTCATATTCTAGTTTGGGCAGTTATCAGGGATCAATTGATTATATAGATTTCTATATTCACTTTTAGAACTCCATGTAACTAAATTCAGGAGAGAATATGACATTCCAATTCAGGCTTAGAGGCTTATTCTGACTCATCTATTATTTTACATTTTCAGGATATAAATATTCCTTTGTTTCTCAGCTAAATGCCATGCTGGAGCAACAAAATTAAGTAGGTAAATAAGGTGGCATTTTGTAAAGATAAATGAGGAAAATAAAGGCTGTACTTTATTTTGTATATTTCTTTTTAAAATTTAATTTTTTTGTCAAGGTGATGCACAGAGGGGTTGACATTACATATATAAGGTAGTGAGCACATTTTTCTCCCACTTTTTCTTCCTTTGATTTTCCCCAAGTTGTACAGTTCATTTCCAACATGCTGTCTTGTGAGTATTCCTGTTGCATTGGCTAGTAGTGAAGTCTATTTCTTAAAATGCATAGGATTCTGTGAGATGAAATGATTCTATAGGAAAATAAGACACCAGCACCATGGCAAAAATTCTGAGTTGGGTCCTCAGGAAATTCTATGTTTAGTCTTTTAAGGACCCTCCACAATACTTTATAGAGTGGTTGAACAAGTTTACATCCCCACCAACAGTACAATAGAGTTCCCTTTGGCCACATCCTCACCATCATTTGTTATTGTTAGCTTTCTGGATAATGGCCATTCTAACTGAAGTGCCGTAGAATCTCAGTGTTGTTTGATTTGCATTTCTTTTATGGTCAGAGATGAACACTTCTTCATGTGGGTATTGGTCATTCTGTTTTCTTCCTCTGAGAAGACTCTCTTTAAGTCTTTAACCCATATATTGACTGGGCTGTTGAGTTTTTGAGGGTTTATTTTTGGGGGGTTTAAATTTTGGAACTCTTTTAATGTATTTTAGATATGAGGTCCTTGTCTTCTGATTCATAACTAGTGAAAAAATTTCTCTCATTCTGTGGGATTTCTATTGATCTTTTTCCCCCTGCCAGACATGGGGCTTGAACTCTGAGCCTGGGCACTTTCTCTGAGGTCCTCAGCTCAAGGTACTTGAGCTGAAGGTATCACTTGAGCCACATCACCACGTCCAGTTTTCTTTTTCTGGTGGTTAATTGGAGATAAGAGTCTCATGGATGAACCCTTGGATATGTATTTAAATGTTTTTTTTTCTTTCATGCATTTGTTTCTAATGCATTTATAAGATTATTTCTTTTCTGCTTTGTATGTCCCTCCCCCACAGTATAACCCCTGCTTTCACTATATTTGATGTCGGTATAATTTGTGGAGGAGAAGGGGAAAAACAAGTCGTTTAAG